CGGACTGGGCCTGTTCCAGGGCCTCGCTGTGAATGTGTCACTCTTGTCCTTTTATGCTAAGCCTGGTTCAGAGATGAGCTGAAGACAGTGTTGGGAAGTTCAAGCTCCTTTGGGCACAGATCCGAATCTCACAGTCACACGTGATTTTGAGGAAAGCCATGCATATAGAACTTCTGTTGCCATATGGCCCTTGTCTGCTTAGTCTCCAAACTGATGCTGTAGATAATTTTCTACTTTTTTCCCCCAACAGGCCTGAACTAAATGCTGTACTGATTATCCAAACTGAAATATTTCCTTTATACAAAAGAACTCTTGTGAACCTAACACAAATATAAGCATCATGTTTATGGTGTTAGAATCAATAACTTCTACCACCCGTACTTACCCAAGAACACACAAAAATATTCTAAACCTTTGTTCAGCAATACCTGATAGAAGTTTCTGCAATGATGGGAACGTTCTATACCTGCTTTTCCACTACAGTAGCTACTAGCCACATGTGGCTGCTACGTACATGCAATGTGGCTAGGGTGACTGAGGAATCAACATTTTTTATTCTAATTAATTTACACTTAGACATTGTGGCTAGTGGCTTTAAAAATTGTAAAGGATATCAGCCTTTACCCTCCCAGCTAGTGAACAAATAGAATGCCACAGTTCTGTAGATTCTGGGAGAAGACAAAAGATTTTGGGGCCAGAGACAAAGGTTACATTACTCTCAGAAACAGTAGCAGGAGTATTAGCTTAGTTTGCCAATTCTTTGAAGCTTAATTCCTATTGTATGAAGTGAAGAAAGGACAGCCATACCTATACACTAATTGATTTGTATTACAGACGGTTAGAGTACCCAACCATATACACTAGAGTACCCAAGCTTAGAGTACCCACATCTTATACACTAGACAGTAAGCCTATCTTTCTGTCCTTGTTCCTGAGGAAAAGACTACCTCTGTTTTCAAAGACTATCTGTTATATAAGTGTCCTTGAATAGACAGTTTTGAATAAAAGCAGTCAGTGCCTCTGCTCACAGAAACCTGAGTGAATAAGGGAGGATTATCTCCAACAGTGGAGGCACCATATATATCTCTGAAATCTAACCATCTCTCCCTATCCTGCTCCAAAACCCAGCTCTTAGCCATATTTATTTCTTGCTCAGGCCATTACAATAGCTTCCTAAGTGAATATCACTACAGTCTTTCACTATGGTTCCCAGGTATTTTCCATACACTACCCAGAATGCACCGTGTAAACACAAATCTAATGTCACTCTTGTTTTAGTCTTTGAGGTCACCCACTGTTTTTAGGGACAAGCCAACCCTCCTTAGCAAGTTCCACAGGCTCTGGCTGATACAGCTCTGCCCATATCCGTGGGCACTTCCCTTGCCTCTCCTTCTAAAATGCATTCTTTTAGCCACACTAAACCTTTTTCATTTCTTTAAATGAGGAGGTCATAAAGTGGTGGCCCTGAGTTGAATTCCAGCTACAAATGTGTCTGGTTTGGCTCACATAATCGTTTAAAAAGCATTTGATTCATTTCACATTTTGGGAGATTTCGCATTTATAAAACATAAATTTTGAGCTCCTCTTAAAAGTCATGGCATCTGGCAACACCTAGCCTGCATCCCAACCTGACAACACTTGGCTGGGACTGAGTATCTCCTGCTCCTTTACAGAAAGCCTGGGCTCTCTGGGATGCCATGTGGCTCTCTCCTGCTCTCATTTATTTATTCCTTCATGTTATCTACCTGACTTCCATCCTAATGCACCACACTCCGCTCTCCTGGTTCTGGAACACTCTTCAGTCTCCAACTTCTTCATGAGCTATTGCTTATGCTTCAGGTGAAGCACTATATGACAGCCACCCATCCAGGGGCCTCCCATCCCATCTCATCTGTCTTCTGTGGTTCTCTGCTTCACTCCATCATGGCACAAATCACTTAGGATTGCAATTTTCTGATCCCTTCCCAGACTTGTAGGTCATAAGAGACTGACTACAACCGTCTTGCACACCATTGTTTGCAAGTTCATAGAAAGAGGGCCAGCAACACAGAGTAGGAGCTCAATAAACACTTACTGAATAAAAAATAAAGGACATAAAAGTTCATTGAAGTATTGCTAATTCAAAATATTTAGGGTGTCAGTTCATGTGTGTATATATATATTTAAATTGGACTTTTAAAATGTAATTCCCTCACCCTCAAAAAATTAAAATACTTGAGTAGTAAATATACAGTAAATAACTAGCAATGCCCTAAGCACTTCACATCAATTAGCTCATTTAAGCATTACGACAGTCCTTTGAGGTAAGTACTTCCAATGTTCCCATTTTGGAAATGTGAAAACTGAGGGCTTAACTTACCTGAGGCCATATGATTAGTAAATGCCCAGGCAGGACTCAAGTCCAGGCCCATCAGAACCTGAAGCCAAAATTTTTAGCCATACACATTTATAAATGTGAGATTTTAAATGTGCCCTGGATAAGAGACCATACTGAACAAGGAGAAACTTAGAACTACTTATCAGGCAATTGAAATTACAGTTGCCCTCCTGCTACTAACCAGCTGGGAGTTCAACCTTGGATAAGATGAAGGTCTTATGCTCAAATCAGTACAGTAACTTGTAGAAGATAAAGACAACTGAAACTTCTCTCCAGAGACTTCAGAGTACATGACACCACCACCAACTTCATCCAGAGCCCTTTTTAAAAGCTATTTTTATGTGCTTTAAACAATTAGCTTTTACTGGCTAAAGGAGTTACAGGGGTGAAGAAAGTTCTTACACGTAAAAGCTTTCTGGCTCAATATTCTGGACTATTATACCAAACCACACACTTTCCAGGGCAGGGACAGGACCTTTAATGTCACTTCACAAATAGGAAAACAAAGACACAGAACAATAGGCCAAGTGTAAAGTTAACTTCACACCCCTCAGGCTGCCCCTCCACTTTGCTTAGTCTCACTGTGTGAGTTGAATCAAAGTTCTCAAAGCCCAGTAGTGGTACGTAAAGATTAAGAAACTCTATGCACCAGAGCGGATGGATGAATTCTTCCCATGAGCAGGGAGAGGATTAGAGATGTCATTGAGTCATACCAAATACAACCTAATCTGGTCAATCTTTTGCAGGTGGAAGTCTTGCGTGTCCCTTGTGCCAAGCCAAATTTTATTTTTAATGGTTAAGAACAAAATGAAACAAAAAACTCTAAGAATCTCATAACTTTTTTAAGTCAAATTTCTAGAATCGATCAAGAGCCCATAAGACCATTAAGTGTTCAAGTTTAAACTTATTAAAAACATTATATTCAATCTCTGTATTTCCTTCTAGGCACTATAAACTTCATTTTTCAAGAAACAGAGAAGAAATTGCATATGGGCACCATAAATTGACTTATTAAGTTAGAATTAAAAATTTTAAAGCTTTTAACATTTGTTATCACATCATACATGTATGAGTGTTTTCTGAGCTTTCATTCTAAAAACAAAGAATTCATTTTATTTCCAAGTATGTCTCCCATTTGGTGAAGTAGAAACATTTCAAATTTTATTTCAGAAAACACTAGTGTCACTAAACTTACTATTTTTTCCACTCTATTAAGTAGATTCACTAAATAATGATCTGAAATGGCCTTCAGTAATATATTCCTGACATATTCTACTTGCCATATGTAGTCATTAGAATATATTTAATTTTCATAAAAATGTGAAATAAAAATATTAGTCTCTACATTAGATTGGAAGCCTCTTTAGAGCAAAGAACACATTCTAGATTCATCTTTAAAAGCACATAGCACAATACACTCACAACACAGGATCTCATGAACTGTCTATTAAATCAAAAAGTCACTAATGAAAGGACTTAACTATTTAATATCAGGTCTAAAGCTGGTTTTATTAGGCCACTTACTTGCTTTCTTCATGAAATAATCAGAATAGTGCTAACAATGCTTGTGCCTGTGATTTTAACCTGAAAATTTACAAATGATAGGGCACATGTTGTTTGAGCTAAATATCTTAAATTTACTAAAATGCAGGTCTGCTTCCTGAGTTGTTAAAAAGTGAAAGCAAATTCAAACTTGCACTTAATATGGGTAAGAGATTGTAAAGATTGGAAAACACCGGAAGCAAATACAGCTTGCTCATTTCCAAAGACGGGAGGCCAATATTAACCTTCTGCTATTTGCATTCCTGTGACCACAGAAAGATGTAAGGTCCAGCTTTGTGCATACGGTCAGGTGGGGAATAGACGATTTCAACACGACCAGTTCCAGAAACACGAATCTTTTATCCAAACCAATCTACTGACCAAATCAGCTAGACACATAATCCCATCTAAGGGAAGCATCTGAACTCAGATTAGAACACAGGACCGGCCGTCAAGCCGCTTGAGGAGACCAGGAATCGTGGTCAAAACAAAATCAAGTAAAAATACACCTAAGTCATCCCACTGAATGATTACAGCGATCTGCAGAGACTGGCACAGTGGGCGCACATTTTGCAGCAGGGAACAGAGAGGGGCCAAAAGGGCATATTAATGGCAAGGTGACTGAAACAGGGCTGAGATCCCGATTTAACTCCAAGTGGCAGATACTTTCCATCCCGCCTCTGCGATCACCCTTCGCCGGCGCCTAACCCCGTGGCTGGTGAAACCGCAGGTAGGAGGAGGATAGAGCTGGCAAGGACCAGAGGTGAGAAGGACAGAGGGGAACGGTCACCGCTCACGAACTGGGCAAGGCGGTGTGGTGGCGAGGGGGTCGCAGAGAGGCTGGAGGAGTACGGGGAAGGCTAAGTCCCGCGACCCTCCCCGGCCGCGGCGCACGATTCCCCACGACCCCAGCAGCCCGGGAGGAAATCAGCAACCGCCTCAGGCGCCTGGAACAGTGGGCGAGGAGGCAGCAGGATCCCCGTCCCGGCCCAGCATCTGCCCAACTTGCTGAACCCCCTCCCGCACTCCCACGCCACCCTTCCCCTGCTCGCCCCGCCGTGGCGGTGGCGGCGACACCAACCTGCGCGACCGCGGGCACAGCCCGGGACGGAAGCCCGAGCCCGCGGGCGGCGGGCGGGCGGCCGGCGGCGGAGCGGCGGGCGCGGCTAGAACGGCGGACGCGGCGGACGGAGATAGTTGGGAGGCTCCGGCTCCCGGGGCGGGGACTGGCCGAGCACGCGGCGACCGCTCCCTCCTCCCGGCGCGCGCTCGGGGCCCAACCCCGTCCGCCGCCGGCCCTCGCCCCCCGGGACAGCTCCCGGGCCCTCCTCCGGGGCGGCTCCGCGGCGCCCCGCCCCTGCCACCCCGCCGCGGTGGCCTAGGGGATTGGGCACCAGGTCCCCGCAGAGCCACCTCTTAGTCGCTTGCAGCTTCCTGGGGTGTCCCTGCCGGGACTGCGTGTCCTGGGTGTTTGGACTCAACGTGCGGGCAGGACGTGGCCAAGAGCTGGAACTCTCGCCTGTGAGCCCTGGGGAAGGGGGTGAAGGCCAGACTAGAAAGTCTGTCTTCCTTTGCTCCGCCCCAGTCCCGCGTCCCGAAAAGCAGCCCTGCGAAGTGGCCAAACCCGCTGGCCTGTGAGCGGCTGAGAAAAATGCCCGACTCTCCCTCTGCCCAGCGCGGGGTTGGAAGGACACTTCGCGTTGAGAACCAAGGAACCCTTCCCCATACTCCTGCCCGGGTTTGAGGACTCCGGCAAAGAGAGTGTGCAGAACTGGCAGGAGGGGTACCGGGGTTTTGATCTGAGAAAAAGGTGTAATCTCCATTCCCATACACAACCCCCGACCGGTCGCAGGATTCAGGCTACTTGGCACGAGTCTTCGCAGTGCTTCCCTGCTGGCACCCCTGGCCTGGAGGGACCCTCCCTGTCCTAGCTTGCATTCCCACCTTTGTCGGCAACAGCCCTTTCTGTCGAAACCTTTCTAAATCCGTAGTGAGCCTAGCGCACACACTGGACCACTTCGCCCCTAAACTGCAAACAGGGAACCCAGGAGCCAACCCCTTCCTTGCCTCACCCCGAAGCAGGAGAACACGGGGGACCAGGTGTCTGGGGACTTCTACGTAGGTTTCATAGCCAAGTGGCTTAATGCTGTGTCACTGACCCCACACACAAATTGATACACAGTTCGAGTTCAATACAATTCGAGGGCAGGTGTTTGTCCCTGCTTTTACCCCTCTACTTGGGTGTGCTCAAGCTGCGTTTCTTGTCCCGAAATCCCATCCTCCCTTCCCCAAACCTTTCCCATCCCAGGTCCTGGCAAGAGTGCCCTGCGAAGTGCCTGGGCACCTCTTCCTCCTAGAGGTCTTTAGTTGGGGAATGGGGGTGGAAAGAAGGCTGGAAGGAGGGACACTGAAGACGAAGCCAGTGGACTGAAGGCAAGGAAGGAAAGTGGAACCTAAGGAGTTGAAAGGGCCCAGGCCTTAATGCAGAAGGCAAAGCCTTCCGGCCATAAAGGAACTCTCAGAAAGAAAAATTCCTCTGCAAGGAAATGACCCGTGTTTGCAGTGGATAGCCTGTAAAATCTGGACCTCCTCCCAACAGAATTCCCAGCAAGCAGTGCACAAGGATAAACTTCAGGACCTAGAGCATGCCTTCACCCGTCCCACCTCCCAGCCAAAATTCCAAAAGAAGCTGACGACCCCAAGCTCTCTTGGCCAGTGGTGAGAAGTTCATCCTGGAAAGTGTTGGTCAGGGACAAGATCCAAGAAAACATTGCTGAGTCAGTTTTACATGTCACTGAGCTGTTCTGCTTTAGTCATCTTCTAAGTAATTTATCCCTCCCTACCAAGTTGGGTTATCAACTGAAGCAAACACTTGGGACCCTCCTATAAATAAGAAGTCACTTTCAATGAGAGGCCAAGGAGATGGGGAGGGACAGGAGTATTAAGGCTGTGGTGGTTGTTATTTTTAAGCTCTATTTGGTGCATTTTTATGTCAAGATAATTTTTCTGTTCAGTGGGTGGCTACATGTTTACCTTAAAATGTGGGCGAATGACTGGGACAAAGCTTTCAATGTTACCTGAGGGCAACCTTCTCTCACACCTTCAGGGTCCTGATGGGCACAGCCACAGTTTCATCTGCACTGACTGAGAGAAGTGTGTTTGAGAAAGCCACCACCCAGCTGAAGTCAGACTTTACAGCCTCAGGGTGTTACAGGCTGTGTGTAGCCCAGCCACTGAGCATGCAAGCTTAGCATGTACTCATGGAATGGAGCCAACCACCCCCACTTCCTGGGTGAGGAGAAGAGTCCTTTCTCCTGGCCTCAAGGCTCCACTTCACTTGAGGTTGGCTCCGCACTTTAGAACTGGCATTACAAAACCAGTTCTCAGTGCCCCAGTTTTAGTTTTGTAAAGGCTACCTTCCATTTAATTATAAAATCTCCTTTTGTTCCCTTATTTCCTCTAGTGCACAAAAGGCTAAGCTACCACAAATTCAAGAGGCTGGAAGAGACCTGCCTGAATAAAAAGTGTCTCCTTTTCTTCTCATTAAAAGAAAAATCATCTCTGAAACGGAACCTTATTAAACTTAAAGTCTTTAGGATATGGCAATCTCTCTGTATCTATTAGTCATTTTAAATTTATGTTAATGGTACAATCATATTACAAAAACTGATCAGTCAGCTGATGGTGATAAAGGGTCTTGGTTTTTTTTCCCCCTGGGAAAAATTTTTATAGCCAAAAGAGAATGGGAGAATTTACTTACAGGCAGCAGAATTGGCCCCAGGTAGTGTTACAACGTAGATGAAGATGGACATTTCTGCATATCTTCCCCTTTTTTCAGTATGCCTTTCAGCAGCCTTGTTGGCTAATATTGCCAGTTCCCCAAGCCAAGCCAAGTGAAGCCACCTCACACAGAAGTTTTAGGGACTTCAGATACTGTTGCCTACTGGTGCTTGTCTTGGAAAAGAGTGACATTTTGAGCAGAAGTAAAGGAAGACCCATGAAGAATCTTTCCTATATTATTTTTCGACCTTTTTAGTAGAAATTTTCTTGTGAAAAGGGGTCCAGTGGACATAGCTTATCCTGGCAAACTTGCAGAATGTGCAGACTCACAAGCTTCTCTGAAAAGAAATAAAAGTGCACCTTTCCTCATTCTTCAGCTTTCAAATGAGATCTGAGAGCACCCAACGTTGATTGAGAACAGATTACATTCAAATACTTGAATACGTTTCAAATTGGTTATATCAAACACACAAATTCACTTATGCATATTCAGAATGAGAAAATATTAATTTCAATTTATGATTCATCAAAAAGCACCTTGTGGGCCACATAATGAATAGCTCCTTATATATTTGTTCTAATATCTGTTTGTTCTTTCACAAATAAATTTTCCTCTGGAATATAGACATCTGTCATGAAGCCAATTATCTTGCACAGCATGTGCTATAAAAGCACATAAAGAAAATAATATACTACATTGCTTATTAGAAAGAAATCAGAAATACTCAGCTCCATGCTGGCATATCTTTAATTTCATGGTGTTAAGAAATAACTATAGGAGTATGAAACAGCAAACTCTTTCCTCCTGTAGTACTAATTCAATTACCTGCCATGATATATATGGGAGGGAAAGTTTTTCCCCAGCAACTGGCAGAAACACTATGGGACTATTTTCTTGTCTTCCTCTACTAACCCCTGTAGAGAGAATGTGAACATGAAATTTCCTTTGAAAACAAATGGATCGCCACACTCTAATCAGCTCCACAGGTATGCAGAAGAACAAGACTAGAAATGGCATTCTAAAGGCACAAATTATCATTTAAATGAGGCTAGACTCTTAGGAAATGTATGCATCAAACAGACCTCAAGAACTGGAAAGCACAATAAGAGGTAGGCCAAGTCAAACTTCCTTGATGTAATGCAAATGTGAAAAACCTCTTTCCTTCTTTCTTTTCTCAAGCAAGCTCCCCTTCTCCTCTCTTTCACAGCGTGATGCACACATAAATAAAATACCAAAATATTTTCCAGAAAGCTCTGCCAGATTAAGTTCACAGAGACTTCTTGAAAACCTCATCTTACTTTCTCTTGTGACACTTTAAAATAGGCTTGAAAAAATTCTTGAGAGGAATATTTTAATAGCTTCCCAGAGAGTAGAATGCATTATCATAACGGTGCAAAGGGCGTCATTCATTTTTAATTCTTGGCTCCACAGGTGTTCCCTGCCCAGACTGTGGTTGACACTATGAAGGCCTAATTATGATTCATCTATCCCATATTACCCAGGAATTGGTTCTTCTAATGTCACACAATCCCTTTACTCAGATGAGAAAAATACAGTTCAGTCCTAGTGGCTAGACACAGTGATTCTCAACCCTGGCTGCAGGATTTGAATAATCTGAGGAGATTTAACAATCCTGATGCCTCAATCCTGCCTTGGACCAAATAAAAAGACTCTCTGGGCGTGGGGCCTGGGAATAGGTGTTCACTGAACTCCTTAAGTGTTTTTGTGTGCAGTCAGGGCAGCCTTTGTTAGAGTATAAATACCTAGCTTTAAAAAATTATTTTTAAATACACTATTTCATGTGAACTGATATACCTAAGAGGTACAGTTTTTTACTTTTTTTCAAATCAAGAAAGTTGTTAATTTGGTTTAATAAGGTACGTTTTCCATACCAAATTATGTTTTCTCTACCTAGCTTTCTGGCTAAGATAGCAAAGCTGGCTCACAATGAAAGTCCATGACTTGCCCTCATTTTGGTGGATTTGTTACTGAAATCAAAGTCATAGATCACTGCAAAAAAAAAAAAACAGACTTGGGGAATATTGAATCTTATAAGTCTTAAAATCCCAAAAGTATTACTCTTGAGCTATTAAAACATTATCCAATTTAGCTGTTTAAAAAAACAGATGTATGCTATAATTAATTCATTCTATAAAGTCCAAGAGCTAGAAACAAAACAATTACAAGGACAACCAGGATTATCAGTTTTACGTAGATTCAGTGTTAATGAAGAACTGAACATTTGATTCTGAAAAAAGAGTTTTAAATGTTGCTGGCAGTTTCACATAAGTAGTTAATACTTTGAATATGCTAGTGGAATGAAAATAATCTCACCCCAAAAAGAATACCTGATAGGTTTTTTAATATAATATCATGATTACTTCCCCCATGCAAAATTTAGTATGATGAGATAAATAGTAAGGCGAGACAGGAGGATATCAGAAGGAAATCCATGGACAGGAAATGGATATATTGGAGAAGCTGAATAGGCTTAACAGTATTTGACAGAACAGTAGAGATTACAAGGTCAAGTAAAGCCTAAGCAAATACAGTTTTCCTGCTGCCTTATTGAAGGGTTACTAGCAGTGTGA